ATTATTATTATTATTATTATTATTATTATTATTATTATTATTTAATATTAATTACATTACAAGGCTTAGGCCAAGTTCATTAATGCCGGAGTGATATATTTAATTTATAATATTTAATATTTTTTTACTCACGGTCCAATTTTAATTTCATGTTTTAAATTTGTTTCATAATTTCAGTCAATGACATGCAAAGCGTGACTGTTGTGTCAGGCCTAGGGGCCTAGTCTGGGAGGGGGCACTAGCAGGTAGGAACTAACTCAACTTGTAACTAGGCCCACTAGTTTAGCCTCTTTTTCTCTAAGCTTTGATAGAAATACATATTTACCACTGGTACTACTATAGAAGGGGGTACTAGCTGTTGTTGTAGTATATTTGATAACAAACATACAAGCTCACAGTTAGTTACAGACGTAGCCTGCATTCCATAAATCGGTAAGATTTAATAGGCCTACCGTAGGTAAACATATATAAAGAACAGTACAGTATTAAAGGTAATAGAATACTCGAGCATCACGACATTGGGAAGTGTCTGCTCTTGTTCGTATCAAACCCGAGTCGAATCAATCCAATCTGAGACCACCCGAGTGGAGTTTCAAGCAAATGTTTCGTACGGACAAACAAAACACGTGCTCCCTCCACCTCTGACCAGACGGCCGCTTCTCTATACACTGCTTTTTCCCTGCCTCGCTCTCGTCACAATATCTTGAGGGCAGCATACCAGATCCATGAAGTGACGTCCTCTCGTCGCACTCTCTTGAGAGCAGCAAACCGTGTCCCCGATTTGCACTAACCAATCACACTGGATCCATACACTGACGTAATCCACATAATATTTAAATATTGTGGCCTCCTTCACTTGTCCGTCAATATCTTCCTGCTCTTCGCCTCCACCTAAACCCCTCCGAAACAACTGACTTCTGTCTTGCGGTAACGGTACGTTGCATTTCTTATGCTTCTTTTCTTCTGCTCCTACTTAGTACTCCTACTTACCATTTTTATAGTGACAATGTCACATGAATTTCAGTAATTTCAAATCAGTTTTGTAACAATCAAGCCTTTTAGATTTCAACTAACACACATTTTTATTAGCATATTATTTTATTTTCAATTCTAACACTCCACATCCTAATTTTCAGTTCAAATAATGACGCAAAACAAAGACATGGACTGTTGCATCTGCTTAGACACATTGGACCATCTACATTGCAAATGCCCAAGATGCAATCAGTTTGCCGATGTTCTGTGTATCACCAGATGGTTCGACACAAGTAGCACCTGCCCGGTTTGCAGATACGAGTATCTGGATTTTGAAGTTGAACTCTTACGTCACGGACAACGCGCAATTCACATCAATTACAGTAGTCCTCCCCAAGATCCTAGTTGGGTCAATGAATTTGACTTCTATCGCTAAGGTAACTTATAATTTAACAGACATCATAATCTCAATGGAGAAAGGCATCCTAGGCAAGATGACAACTATGTACCTGTAGGCCTGTGTCACAGAGAGGCATTAATTAAAAGATGATCAAACTTCTCTCAGCACACGATACTCAAACTGGAGTAAACTCAAAGTTTATCACAAACTTGGTAATCTCACTGTACAATGTTATGTTATGTAGGCCTATTATTCTAATGATTTAAACCACAGGCGTAGGTCTACAGTAACTGTATTTATGTAATTTTTCAATGTTTCAACCAAGGACTTTTAATACAGTGAAATGTCATTGGTTTTGGTTTAACTAAGCAAGACCAATTAACAGAGATAAATCTACACCGACAGTGACGAAACGAATATGCCTCAGGCACCTGACTAAAGCTAGGGCCCCACTGTAATACCCTGGGCACTTGGTAGTAGAGACCCAGTGAGGCGCGGGACGAACCTCTCGCTCAGCGTTTTTGACGTTTAAAGCCTGTTTTCCACTAGGCCAAGTTACTCGCCCAAATATAAAGCTTAGGTTCACGCGCACCACACTTCTATCGAACCAATCAGAGCTCAGGAACCTAATAGAGACTTCTGATTCATGCCTAGTGGAAAAACAGGCTGGACGTCTTTTTTTATTTTTCTTAAATACATTTTCTCCTTAATTAAAAGGCCCACTCGGCTAAATAAAAAATGATCATGATATCTAAGGTCTGGGCCCATGGCTTAGCCATTGAGAGTCCACAGCTGTTCGTCACTTGTTTTGGATTTAGTCCGGTAGTTAGGCCTATGTTACTTTACAATTAAGTACTTACTGTTAGTTAAAACCGAGGGGAAAACACTATTAAAAGAGATATTTACTACATTATCTGTTTTACTTTACGTAATTATATTTCAAAGATATTATTTTATTCTATTGAAAAATATTGCAAAAGAGAACTATCAAAACCAATTCCTTTTACAAGACAATACAGATCTCCTTCCAATTAAAGACCACCCTCCAATAAAGACCACTTTTCTGCGGTCCCAAAAAACAAATTTCTTTTATCCTCATTATTCCAATTACTTACCAAAGCTTCTAAAGACCACGGTAATCACGGTTCCAAAAGTAGTCTTAAATTGGAGAGAAACCGGTATAGGCCTATCCGCATAAAAGGCTTAAAGTTACAGTACCTCATTCCCTATTGTCGATAGCATCATTATTAAATTTCCGTGCTAGCATTAATACACCTGTGACCTGGTATAACCCCGGTTCCAAAAGTAGTCTGTAATTGCAGTGAGACCTATATATAGGCCTAGCCCTTCCGCATTTAGGCTTACTGTACCTCACCATCGTCACCAATATTCCGCACTGTCGATCATTGTATTTCAATGCTATCATTAATACACCTGTGACCTGGTATCTTAGACTTCTTTAGCATAAACCATAATATATTCCGTTCTAACCTGGCTATCGTTATCAAAATACGATTTCGTAGCTGCTTCTTCGTCCGTGTAACCACTGTTTACAAACATTGTCGAAATTTATAAGTTTTAATTAGGTATTTTCTAATTATTAAATCGGTCTTCCGGTTTTGTCTCTTCCGTGTTGGACTATTATACCCAAAGGGTATACTGTTATATACTCTTTGGTATACTCTCTTTTGTTACAGCGCCTAATAGAAGCAATGCAAATGGCTTTCAAAACAATAACCCCAAAATACAATCTATAGCGACTAGCCCAAAGGTGTAAATTAAACAACCATCTAGTAACCACAAATATCTCCCACAATGTATGTATTTTATATATTACTGTATTTATAATGTACCGAACTCGCGCGAATAAGCGCGCATCCGTGCTCTTAAAATATGTTTTGCACTTTTTAGGGGGGCGCTTATTCAAATTGAGCGTTTATGAAAACAGAAGGTAAAATGAGGGGGCGCTTAAAATATGGAAACCGAAGATTACGAATGGTTCTGGTTCAAAAAAGATAATCGTCCAGATAAGAGCATGGCTCATCAGAATGCTTGAACAGCAGATGAAATTAGTGGTGGAGGTTCAAAGCTTGTAGGCCATCTGCCGATTGAGATTAGTAGGATCATTGCAGGGCTTTTTGTAAACTCATGTGAGAACGTGCTGAAGGTGCAAATTGTTGGCAAAAGAAAAAGAGACGTAGGACTTGACAAATGTAAGAAGAGGAAAGTTGCAAAGATACTGTCCAGGAGAACTTAATATCCTCATTTTGAAATTAAAATAAGAAGAAAATACGAATCCACTCCGCAGATCAAATCATACTAAACACAGTCCCATGATTGATTGGATTGGCTTGCTAAAAAAAATGACATATTGTTTTTAAAAAAAAAACAATTAAATTTATTCGGGGCGCTTATTCAAACGGGGCGATTATTCGCGCGAGTACGGTATATGTATTTTTTATTAGAAGGATGGTGTTGGTAAATGAGAATAACAATAAGCCTATTACAATGTGTAATATCTGGTACTGTAAATAATGAATTAGATAAATAATTAATTGTCAATAAATTATTAACAATTAATTAATTATATCAACAATTAAGTAATTATAGGCCTATAAACAATTTTATGTGTTTTAAATAATTTGAAAATATGAATGTAATTGGTTGACCAATATGAATTTAAATAATTGAGTAAAATGAAATATTGTAAAATAATTTTGATATTAAAAATATAATGTACATAGAATTGCTATAAAGCCGTATATATTTATCTAATAATATAAGTTGATTTTACCTGTATTATCATTTTTATGAATGACTAATTGAGTATAATGAAATACTGTAAATAATTATAATAGATAAGTACAATGTTCATAAAATTGCTACAAATCAATATATTTTATATAGGTTTTGAGGATTCTATAGTCCACTTATGACGTGTCCTACTGAATTTGACATACAATGGAACCTCTTCCTTGGGACATCTTTATTAAGAGGGCATGTCTATAATGGGACACTTTAGTCTGTAAATCGAGAAATAAAGTCTCGCTAGCCTCTGATTGCTGAAATCAACGTAGATGCTGCACTGTGATTCGTCGTACAATCATACGTACATGACGTCATGTTGGCAAGGGGAAGTCCCATAATCTTATTTTATAGAGGGCGACCTTTAAGATAAAATACTGTAATTTGCGAGTGGATTTGTCATCTACTATACACTTCCCATTTTATAAAAAAAATGCATAATGATAACTATCATTATTACATCGTGAAAATTGTTTTGTACCTATTATCTATTTTGTGAATAAATAAACTGAATTGCTACAATTCACTATATTTTAATATGACTCAGTAAGACCACAATAATGCCATGTTTTATTTTTTGTATGAACTTCACTTTTTATTTAAGTACTTTTTTTAATATGTATTTATTAATATGCCTTTTGAATGATTAATTTCTGCTTGTAAGCAAGTTGAATATCCTTATTTGAAATTCTCTGCAGTAGTTAAGAATGGATGAATTAAATGTTTCTTTATTGCAATGTTTTTTCAACTCGTTTGATTGCTCACACCTACAGTACAGTATAGCATAAAGACATCCTCCAAAATTATGCATTCCTTTTGTACTATTTCTGGTCCTACTCAATGGAATAATTTCGATGTAACCACCTGTAATTGTAAAACTCTTTCAACTTTTAAGACTCATATGAAAAATATTTGTTTATCTAATTACTACTCGGATATCTAAAAAATAAACTTTACTATTTTGGCGCAATGTATTTTTATTATATTATGTATTATTAGCGTTCATTTATGTATGTATATTTATTATAATTTATTGTTATATTATTAATATTATTATTAATTTATTATTATTATTATTATTATGTGTAGTAGCAGACAGCAAATACATCTTAAGAATACCACAATAATTTTAAACCTCAATACCGTATAGGCAAAGCCTAATGAATCTTATTATCAAAACTCGGTACTATAACAGATATGTTTCGGCAAATCCATCGCTATCTTTAGTGAAACGATTGCTAACATGCAATCTACTATTTAAAAGGAGTGAACAACTGTGAAGCATTGTATTTTAAATAAATGGGAATTGAACCATAGCTATTTGAACAGACATCATGACATTGCATTTTTAGAGAATCGATTGTAAAGAAGAAAGAAAGGCATGAATAAAGATGATAACGTAATGATGAACATCAGAATGACAAAGTTAAATTAACATACATGTAAAAGTTGCTTGTTGAGAGAGGGCGTGTAACATTTTATATGTAACGCCTCTTTGATTTTCTTTGGCTGGCTGTTGAAGCGGAACACAATACACGGAAGCAATCTTCGTTGCATGAGGTTTTACATAGGCCTTTTTCTGGTCATTCTTCAGTAAATTGCCATTTTCCCGTCCCTTTGTTTTGATGTAGTATAAATTTTAAAATATTAAAGGAAGTTTTATTTTTATTGCATTAATGCAATCTTGAACATATTTGTTAATGAAATAAGTTGTTAAATATTTTAAAAGTTATCAACATGTTGTTTATTTTTCAACAAAAAGCCTCCAAAGTCGCGCACTTTGCATGTCCTGATTGGTTTTCTTAAAAATTCCTAATGTCATAATTTGTAAAATAAATAACTTAAATAAATAACTGTACCACAAAAAGGTGAATACAATAGATGTCTTACAAATTTAAAATTAAAAATGACATCAATAGATCTATAAATACTTGAAATTTGACTTTTTTAGACTAAAAAAGTTTGTCCCTGAATTGTCATCATCTCCGTCACAATACTTTAAAATGCCATTATAGCTGTTAGCAAAATGACATAACAAGTTATGGATCAAACCATTTTGGTTGAAGTGGACCATACAGTAAGGAACACTCCATTTTTGTACAGTTAAACCACCTATGGCTGAAGAATTCATGCTTTTCTAATAACAACTAGGAAAGTACCTTTATTCAGCATCATCTCCGAACGCTTCAGAGTATGCTTTATTTATATTTTTTTAGAAAAAATTAATTATATATACGATCAGAACTGTGTCATTTTCAAAGTATACATGACATTCACCCTGTAACACACTGCATATGGCACTATATGATCTAACAAGTTTAATTCCTCATCTCCGTCACAGTCATCTCCACACAATTTTACTGTGATGGAGATGATTCTTGATGTTTTCTTTCCTCAAAAAAGAATATATAATAACAATTATAATTGATCTGGTTTATGTTGTTAGAAACCTTTTTGCTCAATGTTTATTTTTCTATATTTAAATAATATAATTTATCTTTTAAATTTACTAAGATTCACATTTATGAGTATATCATCATCTCCGTCACAAAAAGTGTGATGGAGATGATTCTTGCAATATTTGCTATGTTACAGCACTGAAAATTGAATGCTTAAATAAACGTTTAAAATGCCCTAATTATCGTGCCGAATGTTTATTATAGTTGTTATATATAACCTCTAAAATGGCACATTAGCGAAGAATGACCCTTTCACGAATCGGTAGACTTCTTGAAGTGATGACAAACATTGCGAATCAGCGGTGCGTAACCGACAGAAATAAGATAAGCTTTTGGGCTGATTTTCTGACATCATGTTGTTTAAAAAATCATAACTCAATAACGGGGTGTCGTATCCAAAAAATGTTTCCAGGAAAATGTTCTTAAAAGACCAGTCTACACCACTATATGATTGAAGAAAATTTGAAAAATTTTTTTGACCTCTGAAATCAAGATTGAAAAAAGAAAAGCCTATCTTAGTAGTGTATTAAAATAGGCGAATGCATTACAGTGGAGTAGCATAGGAGTTTCGTGTTGTTACTGTTCCAAGTAGCGATAATATACATATTTTTGTTATTACAATGTACAAGTTATGTTTTATAAAGAGGTATAGTATAGCAAATCATGGTTTTAACAGAGGAGACTCTCATATGGTAACTAAAACAATGCTAGTTCAGAGTATCACCAGTACTACAGCACTGTAATGCATCACTGAACAGAGGAAACTGTGATATGGTAACTAACAGTCATGCATCATCGCAGCTGGCTCACTGGATAGCGCCCTGAGGTGTGCATTACATAAATTGATCATTGTTGCAAGGTTTTGATATCAACATAGTTTTTGGAACTATGACTGCCTTTTTTTTTTTTTAAAGGCAACCCGAGGTGTGGATTATTGTTGTACACCATCAATAGACCCTTGTTATACAAGGTTTTGGAACTATGACTGCCTTTCTTATTTTATTATTTATTATAAAACTGCCTTTTGTTTTGTTTTAGACTGGCTTTTGTTATTAGACGGTAGAGGGCCTTTTGTGAGACGCATTTTTTTCTGTCTTTAGAGGGCCATGGTTTGTGCGTTTTGTTTTTTTTT